GCTTCGGTGAGTTCGACCACGGCCCGCTTAACATTTCCTTGAAGGTAGTAGCAGTACCCAATGCTCATTTGAACGTGGGGGTAGGCTGGCAGTTGATTGCGAACCTACCCAAGTGACGAATAAAGATCTGGTACGTTATGATGGGAATAGTGTACGGTCAAAAACTCGGCCAGCGCCAGGTCAGGAAGGCACTGCTGTGCCCGCAGACTTCCTTTCAAGAAATGCGCGACCAAGAACTTTGGGTCTTGTCTACGCCCAATCATAAACCATCGAGTGTACGACCCAGTATGTTGAAGTGTACGACCCAGTGTGATGAAGTGTACGACCCAGTATGATACACATTGTACTACCTCAAGCACTTGGTCCACAGATCCAACGCCAGTGAACTCTCCCCCAACAGCGCGTGCATTCTCCCTGCCGTGACCAATTAATATGGAAACACTCTCTAACAATCAAGTATATATATATATATATGAACCACCAAAGGGGTAGAAATATATTTTTATCATAAACATATTATTTCATTTATAATACTTGACCTTTGTGGGAAATAGACACGTGGTGTACATGCCCACTTGATGCCGTTTTTGAAACTCGATGGCCGCGTGGCAGTGCAAGTTTGCGAGCAAAAGCATATTCACCAGCGAATTGTCGTTCCATTCAACGTGGTCTTTGGACAGTTCCAGCACACTTTCCATCTCCTACATATATATATATAATAAAATAGCCCGACCACCCGTCATATACTTCGAAGTATATTTATATATATATATATTGTACTACTAGTAGTACTCACTAAAACACGACCACCAAAAAGTATATTCATAGTATTTGTACCACAATCGCGGCATCGTATTGCTTTAGCGCTACAAGTACTTTGCATCGCTTGTCGTATACATGTAATAGAAACGAAGTTTCGACGTGATTGTCTTTAAGGGCATAGTGCAGCACTTCGTTCAAGTCGTCCAGCGCCAACTCCCACTGCATTTCGTGGGTGTACAGGGTCGCACGAGCCAGGACCATCTTTTTGTACCTACACTCCATTTATACACGATATATATATATATATATACTGTATCTATCCAACTCGAGTTCGTCCACTCGAGTCAGCAATATCTATATATATATATATATATATATATATATATATGTATATAAGGTGAAATCCGTTCCAAATTGGACTTTTGAGTAGAATCGACAGACGATAGACAGTCAACGACACGAACCAAGTAACCTTTTTTTTTATCCGGATGCATTTGTAGAGGTACTTTTGATACAAAATCTATATTACAATTTTAGTGACCATCAAATGTTGCAAGCATTCTTATCTGTACGGTGAAAAATGACATGCATTCCTTTGTTTTCAGCGTCCCATAGATCAGGGGATTTGGGGTTTCGTCCAATTTCAATTCGATACTTCAATTCCATACAAATTTTCACATAGAATAGTGTAACCGTGTTATAGTATTTGGGTTTAATTTGGCTAAGATATTCAAAAAACACTGTTAGTTGATGTCGTCAACTGTGAGTAAAATGACAAATGTAATTTTGAGAATGTCCTAGCCAATTAAAGTGCACTGTGGAGACAAATTTCAACGAATCATTGATTAGTCTAGTTTGGCCCTGTCAAAATGTTCAGCTTCCACGTTTTATATACTTTACATTGAATAAGCTTGAAATCTGACACAAATCGATTCAGCCGAGTCGAAATCTTCAGTGAAACAGACAATATATATATATATTCAGGCATGAGGATGATGTGACCAAAACAACTATATATATATATATGCACCAAACAACTAATATATATATATATATATATATATAGTTGTTTTGGTCACATCATCCTCATGCCACTCTTGTTGTGGAATCAATTAAACGTGAAAAAAGGTGGCAATGTCGAATATTGGGTGGGTACTATACCTCTGCAAGTGGACGCCTTTGGGTTTGCCCAAGTGCAATGTCAGCAGAATGCACTACAATATGTACATACATTCCAACGATTATGACATGTCCCCATCCACGTCTCGTCGAATCCAAATATACTCACATACTGAAGTCAAGTCGTCGATGGCGGCGTCATAGTTGTGGTAGCGCTGGTGCAGATGGCCTCGGTACCAGTACATGTCCATGTCGTGGGGGTAATAAGCGATGCACGCCGACATGTCCTTGTATCCTTCGAACGGGAGCATGTACACTTCGTTGAACCGCACGGCGCGCTGGCTGAGCAGTTGATGGCACAGAAATACCTACCCATATATATATATATATATATATATATTATAATACATATAGTACAAGCAGTAATGAAAGGTTGGGAGTGTTTTTCCGGGTGCAAACTGACCTTTTCGTCGATACTCCGAGCATCTTTGCACTTGTGTAGGTCGATCATGGCTTCAATCGCTGGACTTACATACGTGTCCTTGATTGACACGATCGATTCAAAGTACCGCAACGCCCCGCCAATCTACCATTGTGGTGCATAACTACATGTATATATATATATATATATATATA